CAGCGGAAAATCACGAAACTGTGATAGTCGATGGCTCGTTCGATTGGATACGTTTCTCTAACCCCAAATTCTCAAAATGTTAACAGTATTTTTCTTGGAAATTATTACACATGCTTACAAAATTAATTCTATAAATTAATTTTCTATATTCGTAGGTTGTTTGTAGATGAGTCAAAACTAAATAGTTTAAACGTTAATAAAAATGCTTGCGTAAATTCCAAATTCTTAAATTTGTATGTTTCCTAGAAGCAACCAGAAAATGTAGGTACTCAAGTGTCGAACTCCTTTTAAAATGCATCACTCGAAAGAAGGAACATTAGCTCACGAGTGAGATAATAATTCTAACGATATCTAAGTTCACAATTAACTACACTCTAAAAATGTCGTATTTCTTCGATACTGATTCAATATCAATCTTATTTTAACGATTACATTTTTATGAAATAAGCACAACAAAAGTTTTTGTCAAATGTTTATGTATAAATTGAAATAAATCGTATCTTTAAGAGATCATGACTCATTGTCAGTTACCTTTTCGCGTTTCAATAACTGTTGCTTGGGTTTAATGTATATCATTCTTGGTACGTCTTCGTCGAGAAGTCAAGAAGCTTCACCCCTTTCAACGTATAGGCACATCACGTTGCGTGAAGTAATCTGCACATCTATACGGACATGAATAAAAAAAATGTGTATATACACAAACAGGAAAAAGTAGAGTAAAAGTAGCAGGAAAAAGATAATCTTATGTCTTCTTTCCTCGAACCATATAATAATCTAAATGGTGGATTACCGAATGTCACGTTTTCGTCGAATTTATTTTCTAGGCGCAGATGAACCCGACAACACTGAAATCGTGGCTGCTACACGGTGAACTCGATAAATTGGAGCATGTCGTTTTAGAAGGGCGCGGATCTCGCCTGTTGGGTGAACATTCGCCACATATTAGAACTCGAGTCTTCCTAAAAGGACTCCCAAATTACTTGGTTGGGTTATTGTTGATAAAAAAGTGATAATTAGACTGGGGATGATTATGCAAACTCATATTTTTACAGATACAAAAGAAAAAGAGAAACTTAAATAAAAGTATATGTCTCATCGGTATAAAATGTACATTATTGTTAATATTTAATATATTAGGTCTTCCTAAAAGTTCATGCCAGTTATACTCCTGCTACCGTTCTCGAAAGTCCGGTATATAATTGTCCGTATTTTTGGAACTCGATACCGAGACGAATGCAGATGAAACGAACTTGTATGTATCATACAAACTATGCGAGTTCTCTTTTGGGAAAGCACGAACGCGCAGCCACCTAGCGGTTGAGAGCGGTAGTTGGGAAGTACTGGGTATAAGCTCAAAGCGCTCAGTGCTAAACATATTCTTACGTATTTTTACGTGGATGTAACATCATTTTTCTTAAAATAACATAGCCTATGTTACTCCAGAGAAAGCAAGAAAGCTACTGTTAAAATTTGGTATCGATCGGTTAAGTAGTTTTTAAAATTTTTGTGTACATACGCTGTCTCTTTATATAATAGTAAGATAACAAACACAGTTTTTGGCACGAACTTATGGACGACCTAATATTTGTTGCATTTGCGTACATTCTCCCCTATATTTCCATCTACCATAAATGCATAAAAATTCGCAGTCTATTGATAATTCTTTAAGAGAAAACTCTCCGAAATCTTTTAATGAACCGCGAATCTCGATTCCATTTCAGACAAAAATTTCTCAAGTACACGACGCAGTTGCCCGCGGTTCCCTATCAGAGACTCAAAGGCTCATATCAGAGGAATCTAAGAAGAAGTTGACCATCGCGAAGGATCCATCTGGAACGCCATTGCTCCACAAAGCGGTCTACTACGATCAACCTGAGATCGTCGAGTGGCTTGTACAGAATTATCCTATCACTGTGCAACAGAAAGATAAGGTAATCCTTGTTATCTAAACTCTTGCAACGAATAAGGTAGGAACATTTAATTCTTTTCTATTAACTTTATCCACATTGTATTTAACATTTCCCGGCATAACCACTATTACAATTAGTTACTGTTATCATTTCATTTTATTTTAATTGAAACAGCTCAGCGTTATATCAGCAACCAGCGATCACAATGGTGACTGAAAGGTTTGCGTCTATTAATACTTTCTAAATTTCTTTTTCTATTAAAAGAAACTTGTTTTTCTTTAATTTCAATTTTTATTAAAATTGAAATCAATTCAATTTAAATCGAAATAGGCTCATGTGAATCATATTTAACCAAAGAACAGTTAAGTTTAGTTTTGTCAGAATCTACCTTACACAACTACCTTAAGATACTGAAACCTCCGAAATCCAAGTATTCGTGTACTTTTGATACGCAGTGTATTAAAAGAAACTCGTTTTCTTTTAATTTCAATTTTAATTTTAGTTTGGTTTTAAAGTCGCAGTTGTTTCTTGTGTTTAAATCAGCTCAAGGCAAGATAAGATATCCAGGCTCTTATACGTATGTATACAGGGTGTCCCAAAAATGTTGTAACACCTTGGAAGGTGTGGTTCGGGAGGTGATTTGAAACAACTGTTTCCGTAGCGAAAATGTTGTCCGAGGCTTCGTTAAGGAGATATTAAGAAAAAACCCCGACCAACTAGAGCGCGCGTATACCGTTGGAGCGGCCGCGGTAGCGAAGGCTGCGCGCTAGGCGGCCACGCTCATACGCTACCACGGCCGCTCCAACGGTATATGCGCGCTCTGATTGGTCGGGGTTTTTTCTTAATATCTCCTTAACGAAGCCTCGAACAACATTTTCGCTAAGGAAAAAGCTGTTTCAAATCACCTCCCGAACCACACCTTTCAAGGTGTTATAACATTTTTGGGGCACTCTGTATAGTCCTCGTTGAGAAACCCTGGCTTAAACATCAAAATCGTATCGTGACGGGGACGTTTGCATTTCTCGCGAGATATCCGTATAATCGGAAAGCCATTTTTCCAAACGACGCCGACGGTCGCGTTTTTCCCGCATCGCGTGACGCGACTTAATAATAAAGTGTAAACCACCTGTTCTTCCCTGCAGCCATGCGACTTCGTGTCCGCGCGCACGCAACGTCAAAGGGTACCTTTTCACTCCTTTCCCACCCTCGATCTAAATTCGAGTCCTATATATATTCACCATTTAACTGTCGTCGACTTCGCATTCGGGCCGTTGTTCCTTCGCAGTATTCGTTCTCTAACAATCGCAATTATATTTCTCGCTAACTACTACGGGACGAAGTTTCAGCGATAATTTATTCGATAAGTCCGGCAAGTAGTTCAAAGATTCCATCTTTAACCCCGTTAAACCTGGTGTATTGAATTTTGTATACCGAATCATATTTATCCTTGTACAAAATTCTTGCTCATACTCTGAAATAAGTCTCGCGGACACACAACGGTCAGAGCGCAGAATTTGGCTGACTTTCTCAATGTTTTCATCATTCCTCGAGGTTCTCGGCTTCGGTGCGCGTTCGTCGTCTTCAAGGCCGTCACGAAATCTAGCAAACCAGCGGAATACTTGTGCACGGGATAGACACTGGTCACCGTAAACGTTTTTCAACGATGTTTCAACGAATGTTTCTTGAGCAGTTTTGCCCAACTTAAAACAAAAGTTGATATTCGCTCTTTGCTCTATAGCGATTTCTCGACAGACTGACACAGTGGACGGTTAGTTATAATGTCGTAACTATTGACAAAAGAATGGAAATGCTACGAAAATCGGTGTGAAGATAGATGAAAAATGTGTCTGCAAAATTCAATAGATGAATCAATAGATGGCGCTGCAATCGTCTGTTAATTTCGCCTAGTCTCATCGGAAATGGGGACATACTGTGTATCTACTACCTAATGTATGGACTTACAAGGGAACATATCCAACTGTCAAACTCCGATTTTGATCAAATTTATGTGGTAGGTAGTTCTCAAAAAAATATTTCACACGTATTTTTTTTATCGGCAATCGTCCATGTTGAAGGGGTGAAAACAACCCCTAAAGTTGGGGGTGAAAACCATGTTTTTTTAAATATTTATAAAACTAGAGGAGCTAGGACAAAAATTTTTGTTTTTATATATGCGCTATTGAATAGGTGATTTATGTATGCCAGAAGAAATTGTTTATTTATTTATTTAAACAATTTATTTTTGAAAAAATGTTTTTTTTTTGTTAATTTATGTTACTAAATATTGTTTCTTATTCATGAAAATTTTTATGTGTAAACTATAGGTTATAATTAAGGATACATGTTCTTGGAAATTTTGATTTTCACCATATAACAATAATTATATTGAATGGGGAATTCTTACTTCTGCACCAAAAATGTGACATCTTTATCATTTTTTTTCTCATAAAGTATGCAAGATTTTAATTTGAAATTTAACCCACGTCTCTAGTATTATTTTAGTATGATGTATAAATTTTTATGGAAAGATTTGTCGAAAAATATTAATGTTACAGTCCGTTGATCGTGACGCTGCAATAAACGCATTGGCCGCTGGTTGACTTGATTTCTACTGTTCAAATGAACCGAAGTAAATAAATCAATTAGCGTTTTATTCAATATGAATGTCGTTATCCTCTAGCGAAAAACAAAATCAAAACTTAATTTTCAAGGTATAAACTGTATGTGTACGTTGCGTAGCATGTGTACTCGTGACTTCACCATGTTTCTCAAGTGAATAGCGTGTTCAAGCGGTTAAGGCGTCGGCCTATCGTTATGCTTGTCCCGTGTTCGTTTCCTGAAAAGTTTTTTTTTCTTGTTAATTTAAATATTTTCATGCTTTAATTATTTTATTATATACTCGTTCCGTCGACCATTTCGTCCGAGCTAAACGAACGGAATGTTCCGTGGCGATCTCGTTCAGAAAAACCAGGGCTAGAGAAAGCCCTAAGAGAAAGATCTGTGCGTGATTTGTTCCACAATCTCTCACGGAGGAGCAAAAAGACACGAGAGTGAGTCATTGCAAAGACATGAAATCTGCCCAAAAAAAGGACCCTGTATTCATTTCATCAATCGTAACTAGCGATGAAACGTAGTGCCCTCAATACGAACCACTCACCAAAAGGCAGAGCGCGACATGGAAGTCACCAAATGAGCCGAAAGAGAAGTAAGTGCGGATGCAGAAGAGTCGAATCAAAACGATGTTTACCGTTTTCTTCGATTCCAAGGGCATTATCCATAAGGAATTCGATCCACAAGGTCAGACTGTGAATGCTCAATATTATTTGGGTGTTCTGCAGAGATTGTGGAACAGAATTCAACATGCTCGACCGGAGTACAAGGAAATTGGCAGTTGGTTTTTGTTGCATGATAATGCGCCGTCGCATAAAACCCTAATTGTACGCGAGTTTTTGGCCAAAAAAAGCATCATAACGCTCGACCACCAACCGTACTCGCCGGATCTAGCGCCGTGCGACTTCTGGTTATTTCCTAAACTCAAATTAGCGTTGAAGGGGAACACTTACAGTACGATTTCTACCATCCAGAAGGTTTCGACCGACATCCTGAACGCTATTCCGGCCCCCGAGTACCAGACATGCTTCGACAAGTTTTATGATCGGTTTCAACACTGTATTGACTCGGAGGGGGATTAATTTGAATAAATACGATGGAAGAAATGCACTGGAGAGCGTCTTCTTTTTTATTTTTGACCAGTCTCATCCGAAATGGGACAGACTGTGTATTGTCGTGCGTAATAGTTTCGTATTAGTTGAGTCACACCAGGGGATGACACCATGTTTTTAAAAAATCAATATATAGAATCACCTATAATTGTCTTTTTTCATACTTTTACGAACTCTACTATTGAATATTGTTTCTTTCCACTACAATACTTTACTGTATCGCCTACAATTATAATTGATTTTTATGCGAGTATCTTTAATACCCAGGAAGGTAGAACAGCGTTACACTACTGTGCTGCTTGCAAGGACCCCGAGGCAGTTTGGGATGTTCTCATAGGAGGCGATTGCGACGCGAGTATCTGCGATAAAAAGGGCAATCCCGCTGCTTATTATCTGGATCATAGTTCTGAGATCGAGTTATCGGAAGCTGAAAGGACCATGTCTCGCCGAAAGACGAGCAGTGGAAAAGAATGTGAGTGATTATATGCCTTCAAATTGTACTATCAACCATTTCTGCCTTATGTCGCTATATTATTTAAGCAAATACAGCCTGGATTATTCTAACAAATTAGTGATAAGAAAAATATACAGAGTTGAGCGTTTAAATGGGAACACCCAAATATCTTCATTATTTCTGGTTTTATGAAAAAAATCTATAGGACAAAGTTAGCACTAAAGGAACGCATGCAATAGCGAGGCCATTTTTCTCTGAAGATAATTTTTAACGAGATTCTAAGGTCATTGCCATTTTTCTTAATGGTATGGGGTATTTATATTATTGTTGTCTTGCATACTATTATGTCTTCCCATAAGTTCGTGCCAAAAACTGTGTTTGTTATCTTACTATTATATAAAGAGACAGCATATGTACACAAAAATTTTAAAAACCACTTAACCGATCAATACCAAATTTTAACAGTAGCTTCCTTGCTTTCTCTGCAGTAACATAGGCTATGTTATTTTATGAAAAATGATGTTACATCCACGTAAAAATACGTAAGAATATGTTGAACACTGAGCACTTGGAGCCTATACCCAGTACTTTCCAACTACCACTCCCAACCGCTAGGTGGCTGCGCGTTCGTGCTTTCCCAAAAGAGAACTCGCATAGTTTGTATGATACATACAAGTTCGTTTCATCCACATTCGTCTCGGAATCGAATTCCAGAAATACGGACAATTATTTAGAGACGCGGTAGCGTCTCGGCGCCAAGTACATGAAAAATTATCCGTTACCATGTATATACTGGCGTTGGAGCTACCACGTATCTTTTACAGGAGAGATGGTCCATTCCAACCTAACCTGAAACTTCTTTCATGAATATCTCAACACGCCTGCAATATTTTCTGAATTTAAAAGCATCTTTCTGATGTAAACCGCATATAAGCTTTCGAATAAAACCAAAATCAATCAAATCGGTCTACGAACAACTGAGATGTCGTAATATCATGTTATGAATCTGTCAGAAACGGTATTTTTCGTATGATTTTCCCGTCGTCAACCCTTAGCCAATAGGAGCTAAGCAACAGCCAAGTGTCGTTCGTCGACTCTTGGAATCATTCGGTTCGACATGGCTCGTCGGCCGTCGAGCGTCAAGAGTCGAAACAGATGTCATAATTCATAACCTGCCAAGTGTCAAAACTTTTTACACTATTGCATTATTGATTATATTTATATCAGCAAAATGTTTTCAATTTAGACTTTTTATGTAGGGTTTAATAACAAATTACAGCAAGTGTTGTAAAGTGTTAATCAATTTTGACTACAAGGTAAGTGGTCAAAATCTGAATTGTCAGGTACCTTCATTTGTACAGAATAGATCCATACCACTAAAGTGTTTGGAATTTAGACTTTTTACGTAGAACTTATAGAAATGGTGTCATTTTCTCATTTCATAAGAAACATTAAAATTTCTTGCAGTAAGAAAAAAAATTGCAGGTATATATAATTATTTATAAATTGAACGAATAAGTGTTTATAATTAATAAATTATATGAAATATATTTATATTCGATTTGTTATCCCCTCTCCCTTTATTTTACTCTATTCAATTAAAAAAACAAATAATAATTTAGACTTCTTATGTAGAGTTTATAGAAATATCAATTTTATTTTTATAAATTTAAAATAGATTCTATATAATAAATGATTTGTAAAAAGAAGTGAAATCCGATAAAGTACTTCAAAAAAGTAAAAAAAATTACGCTAAGTACATGAAAAAATGGAGGACTCAAGGAGTTATCATTGAAAAATAGAAGATCCCCATCAAAAACTACAAGAAAATAGAAAAAGATGTGAAATCGAAAGAAGCTGCCAGATGATTTGCCTAGATTTCCGCGGCCTGGAAGTCAAATGCTTGGCGTGGCCAGGCAAGGTCAAGGTGTCGTCGTATAAGATTAATTATTTTAAAACCCAATACAATGAAAATGTACTCATAATATTGTCAGAGTTTTAAATTGATAAATTATCTGAAAGTCTGTGAGAGAGAAAGTATAGGTATTGAGGATCTAAGAATGCCTTGCCTGGCCACGCCAAGCGTTTGACTTCCAGGCCGCGGAAATCTAGGCAAATCATCTGGCAGCTTATTTCGATTTCACATCTTTTTCTATTTTCTTGTAGTTTTTTATGGGGATCTTCTATTTTTCAATGATAACTTCTTGAGTCCTTCACTTTTTCACGCACTTGGCGTAATTTTTTTACTTTTTTATACCGAACTTTCGGGAACGGTAGCAGGAGTATAAGTGGTATGAAATTTTAACACGACCTAATATATTGGCCTTCAGGTGACTTTGTGAGGAATTATTCTTATAACGCAAGTAGCAAACTTAAAGACAGTAAAGACCCAAATATTTTACCACGTTGGCTGACTTAAAGATTAACAGAGGTTCACTGACCCTCTGCTGACAAATTTTGTTCTTTCTTATTATGTTTAACTATGTTTGATTAGAATTCTGTAATTATTGACAGGGATTATCTGACTTCTTGCTAAAACATTGACCTTTTGAACTTACTTTCTGTGGCAGTTTCACTGTATTTATTAAGCGGATCTCCTTGAACTTCCCTTCTTAGGCGTGCAACCAAACTACTGCAGAAACACAACAAACTCCAAAATTATAGAAGTACATACTATATTTTTTCCATAGATGGATGTTTTCATATTCATAAATAGTATGAATAAATTCACAGGACGAGTATTATATATAAATATGAATAAATGTATGAATATGAATATGAATAACGCGTTATTCACATTTTTATTCATAAATATGCGTCCTGTGAATTTATTCATATTCATATTGATAACTGTATTCATATTCGTATTCACAAATCCGCGTCATGTGAATTTATGAACATGAATACGCCCATCTCTGATTTCTCGTAGGTTGTTAAACCAAGTGGGGTCAAGCTACCAAGGTTGGCCACTTAACCAGTTTAGGCACTGAATTTTTAATCCTCTTATACTCTATGCAAACTAGAGTTACCCAATGCTTCGGAACTTCGGGAAAATAATAATATATACAGTACGTTAGTGTGTCTCCTCCAACCCGAACATTTAGAGTGTCATTTGATTTTTTTAGAAACACGACCTCCAAATTATTTGAATATCGTACAAAGATTTGTTCATAAGACATACTTTCTGAAACTATTTTTAAAATGCTAGTGTGATAATTTCTTGCATAGCCATAATTAGTTCCACGTGACATGTGATAACATTTTTGATCGTATTTATCTTATAAATCAAAATCAATTTAATATGAATAGATATGGAAGGAACGCTCATTGTTAGCAATAAGATGTAATTAGAACGAGTAGTCTAAGATTAAATCGAAATAAGAGTTAAATGAAATCGACGGCACTGGAAAATCCATTTTTAGTTTAAATCGAAACAACTAAAGCAACTTCGAGTTGTTTGCAATTATTGACCGAATATACGGATCAATTGAAAGCACCCTGACAAATGGATTACCAGCAACCTTGTCAAAGGCTGTATTTCGTTCATTCTCCGCCTTAGACATATATAAATTCCTTGACTTATACCCTATAGAATCTACCTGTAATAACCAAGAGAAATCGATAGGACTTGAATTCGTAAGGCAAGGGAAACACTAGGGCGATCGATAGTATGACATGCTTTAATCAATTGAGTAACAAATTATTGAGGGACTTTTAAAAACCGTAATTCTTGGAAGTTGCATATATATTGTAACCATGTAAAGGTGTTTCCTTCGATTTATAAACAGTTTCACAAGTGAAGTTCAAACTATCTCTACATACAGTGGGTGTAAAAAGTATTCGTACACCAATCAATTTTCAAAATAACTGTGTAAAATTCTAATTTATTAACTTATTTTTTCTAAACAATGACATTCTACATGTTCTAGGAAATCTCTAGAATAGGTAGATTGAAAAAAAATAGCAATTTATGTAAGTTGCGAAAATAACAAGAAAAAAACAATTAATCGATAGAAATATTGAAGAAATAACTATTCGCATAACTGTTTAAAAGTACTTTCCTGGAAAATTGATGTTTTCTAATTCGCACGGAGCAATAAACTAATGTGTTTACGTTACAAACTCTACTGCCCAGATAGCACCGGACGTCCCATGGACGTCCATTTTATGTCCAGTTTACGTCCAAACGTCCGACGTCCGTTGTCGGACGTCCTTAGGACGTCCATGGGACCTAAATTTTGTACGTCCCAGGGATGTCCGCTCTGAACTTTCTAGATTTAGGGAAAATACTTTTTTTTAAACAAAATAAATATTATTTATTAATATTATTTATAATATAATATTTATTCAATATGTAGAACAGAATATTTTTTTCCGAATATAAAATACACTATTTACAATTGTAAATTAATATTAATTAAATAATTAATATTATTATCCCAGATAGCACCGGACGTCCCATGGACGTACAGAAAACGTTCTGGGAATGTCCAGCACCGGACTTCTCATGGACGTACAGAGAACGTTCTAGGAATGTCCAGCACCGGACGTTCCATGGTCGTACATAAGACGTTCCTGTTCCTGTGCTATCTGGGTATACAATCATTGTTTAATATTCGCAACAGAATATTTTTTTCCGTAGATAAAACACATATTTATCTAATATTCGCAACAGATTATATGTTTGAACATGTAAAACAAAATGTTTATTCAATAATAGGAATACAATATTTTTTGTACATATGAGATGTGATATGTATGTAATATTTGGAACTATTCAGAATTACCTAGTAAATTAATTCTTCTAACTTTTCAAAAAAAAGTCCAAGTCATTTAGACCAATTTCAAAAGAAGGAATTGTATTTTAAAAAGTATCCGAATATTAATGCGAGTCACTATATAAGCCTAAAATATGAGTCGGTTTAGCAAAGTCGTTTATGGGTAAGTGAGGAAGCAGGTTGCGGTTTTTGTAGTTCGAAAATCGTAAGTTCGAATCCCGCCGGAGGTAAATAAAAATTGTGAAAGATTTGTTCGTCGTTTTTCATGGAATTCAGTTACAAGAAATAAATA